ACTCTAGTTTTGATTTGAAGATTTGTAGCAAAAATTTATATTTTACTTTTTTATTAGTTTCAGTGATTATATCCAAAATGGTGTTTGTAAAAATAATATAAATATTAGATTTTTAACATTATGATAAGTAAATAAGGTGCTTGAGCTGTAGCACAACCAACCATATCTTACAAATAAATGGGCTTACAATAGCAATTCCAGATCTTCAGTAATTGTTTTTCCAAAAATACAGTGATTATTCAACATGCTTTCATGAATTCAGCACAGAATAAAACTTCTTGAAGTATGCTTACATTACAGATGAGGAATGCTAATTAGAATAAGTATGGCACTGATGAATATTTATAAAAAGGAGTACATTAATGTAGCCTTAGAAGGCCAGTAGCTTTAGCACTGATGTGGTAAAGGAGTCTACTGGCAGAATTTTTTGTGCCTTTTATGTGATATAAACATGTACATCTGTTTTTATAAGTTGAGCTGTAAATTTTATTATGAAAATATTTGTGTGCATTTTCCCTCATCACTAGTACTACCTGTATCAAAGAACAGATAATGAAAACAAGTTAACCAAAAAGCCCTGATGAGAGTTCATATCAACTCCTTTGCACCAGCATGATTAGTGTGTCCGTTGCCGGCAATGGATAAGGAAAGCAAATCTGTGTCTTGGCATAAAAGGATTAAAAAGCCATTCTAAAACAATTGACAGCAGTTAGGTTACATTTTTACTTTATAATTTCTAAAACCAAACAAATAAGAAACCTGTTTGTGCTTCTTGTGTTAATAAATTGTTAAATATGACACTTTGCACTGTCATTTTTATAAAAAACTGAATAAGATTTTGCATACCAACAATATGAAAATGTTAGCACCTCACTTTTAGGAAAATATGCAGTGTTGCCAGCCCCATACGGTAAGAGAACCTGCTTTAGTACAGAAATAAAAACCCCTCTGACCACATACACCTCTAGTTACCGCCTTTCTCCTCCCACCTTGAACCCATATGGGTATCAGAGAAATCTTTCATGAGCCTTTTTTTCCTCACCTTCAAATAACCTCCCAACCTCTCTAGGGTCATAATTAGAAACCAGGATATAGCAGATCAAAGCATGAGACCCAACCAGAACAACTGAATCAATCCTTGGATGCATAGCTCCACTGTTACAATGATCTCTCTCACACACATGCACAGGCACACACACCCCTGTCACAATAGAGCAAAGGCTTTGATACGATCTTCCACAATATTCTTGCTAGCAAGTTAAGGGAATATGGATTGGATAAATGGACTGTAAGATGGATAGAAAGCTGGCTAGACTGTCTGGCCCAGTGGGTAGTAATCAATGGCTCGATGTCAGGTTGGTTTTCTAGCGGAGTGCCCCAAGGATCTGTTCTAGGACAGGTTTTGTTCAACATCTTTATTAATGACCTGGATGAAAGGATGGATAGTTTGCAGATGACACTAAGCTGGGGGGAGAGGTAGATACGCTGGGGGGAAGGGATAGGGTCCAGAGTGACCTAAACAGATTAGAGGATTGGGCCAAAAGAGATCTGATGAGGTTCAACGAGGACATGTGTAGAGTCCTGCACTTGGGACGGAAGAATCCCAGGCATTGTTACAGGCTGGGGACCGAATCGCTAAGTAGTAGTTCTGCAGAAAAGGTCCTGGGGATTACAGTGGATGAGAAGCAGGATATGAGTCAACAGTGTGCCCTTGTAGTGAAGAGGGCTAATGGCATATTAGGGTGCATTAGGAGGAGCATTGCCAGCAGATCCAGAAGTGATTATTCCCCTTTATTCAGCTCTGGTGAGGCCACAACTGGAGTATTGTGTCCAGTTCTGGGCCCCCCACTGTAGAAAGGATGTGGACACATTGGAGAGGGGCCAGCGGAGGGTGACCAAAACTATTAGGAGGCTGGAGTGCATGACCTATGAGGGAGAGACTGAGGGATTTGGGTCTGTTTAGTCTGCAGAAGAGATGGGGGATTTGATAGCAGCCTTCAACTTCCTGAAGGGAGGTTTCAAAGAGGATGGAGAGAGGCTGTTCACAGTAGTGACAGATGGCAGAACAAGGAGCAATGGTCTCATGTTACAGTGGGGGAGGTCTAGGTTGGATATTAGGAAAAACTATTCCAGTAGGAGATGGTGAAGCACTGGAATGGGTTAGTAGGGAGGTGGTGGAGTCTCCATCCCTAGAGGTGTTTAAGTCTCGGCTTGACAAAGCCCTGGCTGGGTTGATCTAGTTGGGGCTGGTCCTGCCTTGGGTCTCTTCCAGCTCTATGATTCTATATGAGCCTCCCGTTAACTGCAAAGAGGCCTAGAACCCCCTATGCCCCCAGCCCCCACTTTCCATTGACATAACGGCTGCAGTCCGGCAACCCAACCGCAGGGCGCGCAGGCGCGAGTTCGCAGCGTCGCGAGACAGGACGTGATCCGCTCCCTCCCTGTGCCTGGGGCTCGGAGACCTAGGGCCAGGCTCCCCCAGACCCACTGTCCCCAAAGCGAGGCATCAACCGGCTCAGCTCGCGCCGTAAAATCCAGAGCGTCCTCGCGCTACAGATGGCGACAACGACATAGTGACACGAGCGGATTTCTCACCGCGCATGCGTCTTGAGTGGCAGGGCTGTCAGCACGTGATCTTGATGGGCTGGACAGAGGCTTCCGAGAGTAATAGCCTTCCGCTTCCCCTCCTCCCTGACTCTGCCCACTTCTCGCGGGACTCCGCGAGGGTTTCCGGCCGCCCTTAGGCGGCTATAGGCAGGGACGGAACTGGAGAGGAGAGGGGGCGGGGCAGGGCAGCTTAGCCCAGCCCGTAGGCGATCAGTGGCGCGTGAGTAAATCGGGCCCGTGCCCTGGCGAGCCGGTAGAGCGGCGCTCGCGCCTGATGTCAGCGGGTGAGGGGGACTTGGCTCCCGGCAGGCAGCGGGGCTTGGTAGGGAGCAGGGCTGCATGCGGGGGCGCTACTCGGTACCATGGGCGGGCGAACAGCGTGCGGGGCCAGAGGGAGCGCGGCAGGCTGAGGAGCCCCCGTGGTTGGCGAGACGCTCTCTTCTCCCTGTCAGATTTGGTGGGGTGGAGGAGCAGCAGCTACCCTGCCTCTCTCTCCAGTGAGCAGGGGAGGGGAGGAGGGTTTGCTCCAGTCGCCCTGCGTGGCGGATCGTCATTGTGCGCCCGCTTCTCTGGAGCAGTGGGTCGTTAAGACTTGCTGAGGGTTTACACGGCGCGGGAGGAGTTTTAGTTCTGTCGCTGGGAGGAGTGGGGTGAAGTGAAAATGCCCCCCCCCCCACACACATTTACATTGTTTTAAAGCAGTGTCTACATCTAGGTGTAGAGCCGGGCCAGCTCTATGTTGACAGGCAGCACTCTCCTTCTGGTATAACTCCCGCTTCTCCTTGAGCTGGAGTAATTAGTCCTCAGGCAGTGTAGCATCTTCGCCAGACTCGTTACATTAGGGCTGCTGCATTGATGTAGAGGCGGCCAGTTTGGTACAGTAGTGCAGACCTGCCTTGAAACTGGGCCTGTTCTGCTTAGCTCAACATCATGCATTGAACACTAGGAGAATGTAATTACTCTGGGCCTCATAATCCAGAGTCCAGAACACAGTGCTGTCTGGGGCTTGGTCCAAGATGGTGGAATGAATTTCTACAGCAATTAAGAGTCACCACAAGCCGTGTGACCTTTTGCTTTCAGTAAAAGGTACTCTGTGTAGATCTGCAATTTTTAAAAAATGTATAAGCATTCAAAATAGTCATGCAATGAGCATGCCTAAGAGTAATGAAAAATTTGAGTGGAAATAGTGATTGGTAAAATGATTTTGTTATAACATACTTTTTAGTATGTTATCATATGGTAATAAAGGCTTTATAGAAATTACCTTCTGCGATCATGCTGTAATATCATAAGTGAAAAACAATATTCCAAAATATTCAGTCTTTGTCTTCAGAGTTTTTCAGTTAAGACTATATATAGGCTAGTAGTAGTGAAATAGATTTTAGGTAACAGCAAAGTTTTCTTCATGACATTAGGTTCACAGTAGTGTCCAAGACAGGGCTACTCAACATGCGGCCTGGGGCCGATGGATGGGAACCGAAACAAAAAAGTATTCTATATAATGGTCTCCTGTTGATATGCGTTTTAGTAGTTAAATTCCTGGACTGTCATTGTTCATTAAAAGTGCTCTCATATGGGTGGAAATCGGATAAATACTGCATTTTATAAATAGCAGAACTGACTTAAATTGTGCCTGTGTGTTGTGTAGTCTTGCCTTAATCTTTGTATTCATGTCTGTCAGTTTTAAATAAGCTATTGGCATATATTTGCATATATATTTGCATGGGTATGCTACCACAGTAATGTTGCGGCCCTCAGCACTTGCTGTGAGTATAATTGTGGCCCCTGGGGCTTCCAGAGTTGAGTAGTGCCGGTCTAAGGCGTGTTCATAGTTAGAAGAAAGAAAATAAAACTTGTGCTATAAAAAGTAGGGATGTGAATATTAAACCAGGTAACTAGCTGATGTTTACCAGGACACTCCTCTATTAGCAATGATATATCCACCAGTTAAAAGTGCTGGAACATTTTTACTACTTGTAGGGGTGAGGGAAGTCATCTGTACCTATTCCAATATTTTTATACATACCATCTAGCACAGACGTAAAAACATTGAATTTGGTTTTAGAAAAAAATGCAGTATTCTGAGTGAAAGCTGTCTGATTTCTCTGCATAGTTGGAATGTTTCAGTTCTGTTGAGTGATATAATGGTATAATGTCCTTAGTAGTGTGTATAATAATATCATTTTGTAAACTTAAGCCCTGGTTCTGCCAAGACTTATGCATGTGGCTATCTTTAAGCATTTGTGTAGTTGAATGGAAGATGGTATTTTTAATTGATTTGAACTGAATTGAAATTTTTAAGATGAAATTTTGTTTGGCCCATTACATATGATGGTTTATGGTGGTTAATAGTGCTGTGTGGGTGATGGCTAACCGTAGACTCTTTAACTCAGTCCTGCAGGTGATGAAAACATGGCGGCCATTAATGTTGGAAGGGAACAATTCGTTAGAGACCCCGATAGCTGTGACATCCCTTATTATGTAGCTGAATTTGTTGAAAGAGAAGTTGGAACTGACCTTAATTGCCTAAGGAAACTTGGCAAACTTATAGAGGAGCTTTCAGAAAATAAAAAGCAATTAGAGGAACAGGTAAGCATTAGATTAGTTATTTCTCAAGTCCTTAAAACAATAAAAATGTACCATCAATTGCATACATCTGGTCACATCAGCACATTTTGATAACTAGCCACACAATGTCAGCTAAGCTGTCATGTTATGATTATCTCTTGCACTTTGTTATGCATGAAAATCTATGAAAGACACATTTGTTTGATCACTGAAAGAAAGGTCTCAGTACTTCTGTGTTAGATGCATTGCTCCTTCCTAAACACAGGTACTTACCGTTTCATCAGAAGTTCCCAAAAGAATTCAGAAGGCCTTAAAGAATGCAGAGGATTCTAAGACGTCTCTTAATCAGCTTCTGGAGGAAGAAACTGTTTTATTTGGTTCAATTAATAGCCACCTATTGACAGCTCAGCCATGGATGAAGGATCTCGGTGTACTGATTAGTCAAATAGAAGAGGTTGAACGACACCTGGCTTATCTAAAATGGATTTCACAAATAGAAGAGTTAAGGTAAAATAGTTAGAAGGCCAGGTTGGCCTATCTTGTTGCCTTGTATTTTGTTTAGAGCTTAAGTGGTGTTAAATACATTTGAGACAATTTTGGAGTTATAAATCTGTATTTTTAAATGCAGACAGTTATAACTCTTGCTAATTCAGCTACCGACTGAACATTCAGATCTCATATTGATAATGCCATTACTTTCATTTGCAACTAAATTTGGTGATGTATTTTGGACATGGGAATGAAAGGGTCACAGTTTACTGTCTAATGTAGAAAATGCGGCGTTTGTCACAATTGAATATAAACTCTGTATCTTCACTATTTATTTTTAGTACATAACAGTACAAAGTCTAATAATAATGAAAGGGTGTTTGAGCAGAATAAAATGTAAGTTGACATCTATTTATTTTTTTTTTACCTTGTTGAGAATAAAACATTTTATTTAAAATTTCACTATAGACTTAAAAACACTTGGGCTGTGTCTACACTGGCCAGTCTTGTGAAAGAACATATGCAAATGAGGTGTGAATATCACCACACCTTATTTGCATATTTAAGCTGCCATTTTGGCACAAGGGGCTTTTGTGCAAGAAGGAGCAGTCTATATACTGCTCCTTCTTGCGCAAAAAACCCCTCTTGCGCAAGAGCTGCTTTGGAAAATATTTTATATTAAATAGGGATGTTAACTAGTGTTCCCTTTTAAGATGCATGGCAGCACAACTTCACAGATGATTAATCAGTTCTGTCTAGTCAGAGCCGCTCTCTTTCCCCCTCCCCCTCCCCCTTCCCCTCCCCCCATGCCTGGCAGCAGCCTTTGTCCATGGGGAGCTTGAACCCCCTGCGGACAGGGGCTACTGCCGGAGTAGCCTCGTTCCGCATGGAACTCGGACCCTTATGGATGGGGCTGATGTCACCCCACGCTGCTGCCTCTATTAGAGGCAGCAGCACGGGGCAGTAGGCAGCTCCCCTCGTGGACAAGCTCCTGCCTGCCGCCCAATACTGCTGCCTCTAATGCCAGCCCTGCCCCCGGGGACTATCAAATCATCATGTAACCAATAAAATTTCCTTCGGCTACACAACTGTTCAATCACACTATATCTAACATCAATATTTAAAAACTAAAACAGATTTTTGTTTTCTCTTCATTATAGAGTAAGTCATGTAAAACACTATGAAATATCCTCGTTGTTGCTAAAAAATTGCTTCAGTGCATTCTAGTTATGATTTTGCTTTATTTTATAGTGATAATATTCAGCAGTATCTCATGACTAACAATGTGCCAGAGGCAGCTACTACTCTGGCAGCCATGGCAGAATTGGATATTAAGCTTCAGGAGTCGTCTTGTTCTCATCTTCTTACTTTTGTGAGATCAACTGTCAAGTTCTGGCATAAAATTCTTAAGGACAAACTGTCAAGGTAGGAAATGCACCATAGATTTTTTCATCTTCACATTGTGCTGTTGATTCATATTTGTGTCTTTTCTGTTACAGTGATTTTGAGGAGATATTAACTCACCTTCACTGGCCATTTGTTGGGCCACCCCAGACTCAGGTTTTTGGCCTTTCTGCACCGGCTAATGCTCCAGAAACATTCAGTAATTTGGAGAGTCTGTTTTCTCAGCTTCTGAAACTGCAAACATCGTATCCTTTTTGAATTGCTGTCTTAGGTTCACAGGGAATTTCAGTAAGTTTAATGAACAAACTTAAGAGATGTGCACTCCAAAGAAGAAATGTGTATCAGTAGTTTGAGCATTGGCCTGCTAAACCCAGGGTTGTGAGTTCAATCCTTGCAGAGGCCATTTGGGGCAAAAATTTGTCAAGGATGGTACTTGGTCCTGCTGTGAAGGCAGGGGACTGGACTCAATGACCTTTCAAGGTCTCTTCCAGTTCTAGGAGATAGGCAATCTCCATTAATTTAATTTAATTTAATTTTTATCTTTGGCAGTAGTAGTGGGCTCACATCAGGGAAATGAGGAAAATAGTAAGCCTTCATACTATTCAGTCCTTGGGCCCTCTGGCAAAATTACCCACATTGGTGAAAATGGTGATGGCACATTTGCCTGTTCCCTGGAACTGGACAGAGATCACTAATATTTTCACATAAGCTATTGAGCAACCCTCACATAGTAAAATCAGGTTTTGATCTTTGCCAGTTTGGGTCACATACAATTCTGAGACTAAGAAGCTCTTGTTGGCATTACTGATCGTCTTAGTTTCTGTTGCTCTGTTTCAGTATGGTAATGGAGTGTGTGTGTGTGTGTGTGTGTGTGTGTGTGTAAGAATAGGACAACCCACATCTATCTTGGTAGTCCTGAAAGCTGATTTTTCATAAACCAAACTGATTGCCTGACTGCTGCTCTCTTAAATCAGTTGTAATCTACCTGTAATAGTAAGCACAGGTTTAATGTTGAAATACTCTAGATACAGAAATAGATCTCACTATTTTGAGAATTTGTGAGTGTGAGTGTGAGTGAGAGAGACTATAGAAATGGAATGTCACATTTCTTAGATGTCCCTAATGTGTGATATTAAGATAATTCAGTACTTCTATAACGATCCCGTCAATAAAATATTTACCTTTGACGCTTAACCCTTAGAGATGAATTACTAACCAAACCAAAACAACTACCAGAAAAGTATTCTCTACCTCCATCACCACCTATTATCCTTCCAATGCAAATCATGCTGAACCCTCTTCAAAAAAGATTCAAGTATCATTTCACTGGGAATAGACAAACTAATGTTTTAAGCAAGGTATGGGGAAAGCATTTCTTGATTTACTTGTAATTACAGCAATTAACCAAAAACACCAACCAACCCTCTTTTACATAAAACATGAATTAAAGTTGTGTATCCCACCTATTATCCTTCCAATGCAAATCATGCTGAACCCTCTTCAAAAAAGATTCAAGTATCATTTCACTGGGAATAGACAAACTAATGTTTTAAGCAAGGTATGGGGAAAGCATTTCTTGATTTACTTGTAATTACAGCAATTAACCAAAAACACCAACCAACCCTCTTTTACATAAAACATGAATTAAAGTTGTGTATCAGATACTTGCCCTGCAAAGCCACCCCATGTGCCCCTACAAACGGCCCCTGGCTCTCTGTGCTCACTGGGTACAGGGGAGCTATCCAGCGCGGCAAAATTGCGTTGGCAAGATGGTGGCAGCTGGCAGGAGCCTGATGTGGCCAAAAAGCCTTTAACTGAATTTCTTAAAGGGGCAGGTTTTTTTTTTCCGCTCAACAACTCTTCATATTTTTTTCACCGCTGTTTCAGCTGTCTTTGTTTAATGTGTTGGCCACCTGTGTGCTAGAGCATTTAAAGAACCTCCACGCATTCTACCTTTGCTTGACAAAGTGCACCCCTGCACAGATTCACTGGCAATGGGATATTCCTGTGTTGCATTGGCCAGATCTCTTTGCAAGGTGGGAGCACTGAAGCAGATCCTGTTGCAGTTGTGGGTAGACTCCACAGCCTGAAAAGGATGGATTAATTTATCTTTGGTTTGGATGGAAACCCCATTTTATTAGTTCTAGCCACTTAAATGTTAGGTATAAAAGGGAATGAATTTGGTCATGCGATAGCATTTTCATTATTTTCCTATATTCCTGGGATAGGCAATGATTTTTAATTGGGGGGGAGGAGGTGGCACTCCAAGAATTTGGTAATTGGTCCAGGGCCACTCTCTTCAAGGATATTAATGGAGGAGGTGCAGGGTTTGAGATGGAGATTGAGTGCAGACGGGATCTTGGGTTAAGGGATAGGGGTGCAGGAGGGAGTGTGGGGTCTAGGAGGGAGTTTAAGTGAAGGAGGAGGTTGTAACCTGGTGCACTGGATTGGGTTGCAGGGGTTGGGTGTGACCTAGAACAGGCAGAGGTTGTGACCTGGAGTGCAGGGGTTTGGGATGTGGTGTAGGACAGCAGGGGATTGTGACCTAGAGCAGGGGATTAGGGTACAGGAGGGGGTGCAGGGGTTTGGGTTGTGACCTAGGGCAGGGGATTGGGGTGCAGGAGGAGGGCGGAGGGTTTGGTTTATGTGGAGTAGAGGGGCTAGCGTGGAGGCAGAGGATTGGGGAAGAGAGGAGCTGGGGTGCCAGAGGTAGTTTCTGGCTGGGAGACTTACCTGGGTGACTCTGGGCTGCTGGCCTGGAATGTTTCTCAGACAGCCTACCTGCCTGCCCCACCCCTGCAAAGGCTGAAGGGGGCCATCTGCATGTGTGAATAACTAGGAGCCAGAAGGGAAGAGGGTATGGTGCTTTGTGTGCTGCCTGTTATTCAAACAGGCAGCTCCAGTTGTCCAGAAACAGGCTAATGGGATTGTACTGAGGATGAGGGCAATGCATGAAGCCTCTCCTTCCCCTCTGGGCTCACCGCTGTGAAAAAGAAATAGCTCAGCAGCCGCTTTTCCAAGCAGTATGTGGGTGGGACAAGGCAAGCAGAGAGCTTGCTTGGGGCTGCCCTCTGCGTCTGTGGGCCAGGTCCAGTGGCTTGGCAGGCTGGATGTAGCTCTCAGGCCGTATCTTGCCCAGCCCTGTATAAGTCTCTAATTTTAAAATATAACTGACAGTGGTGTGGACAATAAATAGTTTTCTGTTTAAATTTAAAAACCCACAAAACCTTATGTTAAATTGTAGGTGAATAATTTCCACACACCCCCATTTGGAAACATATATATGCACATTAATTGCCCTCAGTTTTGGTGGCTTTGATCTGGGATTAAAATACAGGTGCATTTCTATAAGAATGTTTCCTTTTCCTTTTTGTTCCAATACAAATGTGCCAGAGTCTAAAGTTGATATTTAGTATGTATATAAATTGCTTGTAGTAACAGTATTTTAAGGTTAGTCTGTGTGGTTGCATGGGTAAGCTGTAGACACATTTCACTTTGGCAGCTGTCCCTAAACTATTTCACTGGTGGTCTGTAAAGGGCTAGTTGCAAGCTTGCTTCCTTTTTTTTAATTACTTCTACAGGCTTTTCATTGGAAGTGCTTTAAAAAGATGTTTCCAGTGACTGGAATCTAGGAGGAGCCACCAGTCTAGCTGTTTTCAGGAGGTGAGGCTGCTATATAAAAGGATGAAAAGCTTCAGAGGGGTAGCCCAGTTAGACTGTAACAGGAGAAACTTCAACAACAAATAGTCTAGTAGCACTTTAAAGACTTAACAAAACATGTAAGATGATATCAGGGCTTTTGTAGGCAAACCCACTTCTTCAGGTGACTGGAGTATGAGTCCAGATCCAAGGATAAATAAGGGAAGGCGGGGGTGGAGGAGAAGAAAGAGACAGTGAATAGATAAAACTTAAACAATAATCGCTCTAGCAGTTCTCCTAAGGACAGACAAAACATGTCGATAGTTAAAATAGTTACAGGAGTCTGTTAAGAACTGTTAGCACCTCCGTTGTTTGGTTGGTTAAGTTATTAAAAGGTGGAAGATAACGTGTGAGCCATCCAATATCCTTGTTTAGACCATTAACTTCATTCACAAGTTTAATTCTTATGTTAAGTTCCAATCCTTCTCTGTGTATTTGGCTTGTGTAATTGGTCTGAAACAAAACGGTGACTTTAATCTTCCTGGACACTCATTAATGGATCTTCAAGTGTTCTCCAACAGGTTTTTGTGGTGCCTTTTCAGATATCTGATTTGTGTCCGTTAATTCTTTCCCATAGTGATTTTCCAGTTTGGCCAATATACATGGCAGTGGGGCATTGCTCACATTTGATAGTATAGATCACATTAGTGGATGTGCAGTTAGATGAGCCTTTGGTTTGGTGGCTGATGTCATTGGGTCCAGTGATGAAATCGCTGGTATAGATGTGTGTGCAGAGTTGGCAGTGGGGCTGATTGTAGGGATGGGTTCCAGGATGATTATGATGGAGGTGTGTTGCGAGGCTACAGGAAAGAATTTGACACTAGGTGGTTGGTTGTCTGTAAGCGAGAAAAGGCCTCTGAGAATGAAGGGTCATTTTCCAGGATAAGAACCTAAGAATGGCCATACTGGGTCAGACCAAAGATCCATCTAGTGCAGTCTCCTGTCTGCCGACAGTGGCCAGTGCCAGGTGCCCCAGAGGGGGTGGACCGAAGACAATGATCAAGCAATTTGTCTCCTGCCATTGATAAACAGAGGTCAGGGACACCATTCCTTACCCCTTGGCTAATAGCCTTTTATGGACCTAACCTCCATGAATTTATCTAGCTCTTTTTTAAACTCTGTTATAGTCCTAGCCTTCATAGCCTCCTCTGGCAAGGAGTTCCACAGGTTGACTGTGTGCTGTGTGAAGAAGAACTTCATTTCATTTAGTTTTAAACCTGCTACCCATTAATTTCATTTGGAGTCCTCTAGTTCAGTGTTTCCCAAACTATGGGCCGCGGCGAAAAAAATACCGGGCCTCAGCATGCCTGGTGGCTGCCGGCAGGGGCGGCCTTAGGCCGATTCAGGCCCCACGCCCCTGAACCCGGAAGTGCCGGCGAGTTACAGAGCCCAGGGCCCTGCTCCACTGATATGTGGAGCTGGGTCTCTCCCCTGGCTCTGCCTGGCGTGGGCCTGGGTTCCCCTGTGCCGGCCCCCCGCACATCCTCCCACCCCGCACTGCCCCCAGAGCGTCCCAGCCGTGCGCGGCTCCTCCTCACTGCCTGCTGCTACCCATGTGCGGTGTTGCACGTGGGCAGGGAGGATGCCCGGGCGTGTCGTGACCTCATGGCCCAGGATTTTAAAAGTCTTCGGAGGCATGTGGCGGAGCCACACTAGCTCTGGCGGCCTCCGGCCCCGCAATGTGGAAGGCAGAAGGTAGGGAATGGGCTTGGGCGGAGGTGAGCAGGTGGCGGCGGTGGGCTTGTGCGGAGGGGGAGGAGTGGAAGGAGAAGGGGCTTGGGAGGTGAAGGCACCAAGGGACCGTGCAGGAGAGAGACACAAATGCCAGGGGGCCAAGTGCAGACAATGAGGAAAAGGGCAGGAGGGGAGGTGTCAGTGGGAGGGGGGACAGGGTGATGCTGGGAGAGGAGAGGGGAAGGGCATTGGTGGCTGGAGGAGGAGGTGCTGGGAGAAGGCTTGAAAGAAAGGGTGGGCATGAGAGAGGTGGGGATGGAGCAAGTCATGTGTGTGGGCACTGAGGGGCAGGAGGGGATGGGGCAGAGTGGTGAGGGGTGGGTATTAGGGGAAAAAGGGGGCAGGGGCAGTAAGGGAAGGGGGAGGCACCAGGAGGGTGCAGGGCTAAGGAAAGGTGCAGGTGCCAGGGGATTCTGGGGTGAGAAGGAGGGGAGAGCTGGCCATCGGAAGCAGCACTGGACGGGAGAATTGGGGGGGGCTGGGGAGATTGGGGGGCTGGGGGAAGGAGGGCTGGCGGGGGGCTGGGGGGCGG